GAAATGCCAAATTTTTGTATTCGGTCCCATTACAAACATCGTAAAATTTTGATGCCTATGATTTTGCTGTCATTTTATTCATCTTATGAGCGCACATGTAACTGCCGAGAAAGGTGCATTTAATTCAAAGCCAAAATACTGTTAGTATTTGAGCATAATAGATCATAGTGACAGAATTAATTTGGGATTTAAAATAAAATTCCAGCTGGGAAAGATAAATAAAGTGACTACCAGAAATTACAGAAGAGCTTTGCTACTTGGTGCGAGGGAATCCTCAGATAGTTAAATTAGCAAATAACCTTTACTGACATGATGACTAGGAAAATGCGTGGAAGCATCAAGACTATCACTGACTTGCATGAGGGCTCCTTATCAACACTCTCTGGCAGTGCACATTACATACAGATGTGAGTATTCTCAATTCTCACTTTTAACGGCTACTTTTTAAACTTTCAGTCAGCAATTTGTACGAACACGGACGAGTGAGTCACAGTTTTTTATTACTTTTTTTGAAATGAGTATTTCTATAGTAACTGAAAGAACACACTGAACTTGTGAGCGTGTCATCTGCCGACAAAGTGCGGTGAGGATAATGCAAAAGAATGTCGTAGCTTGACAATGAATGTTCAATGGAATATTGCAAAAACTACTCTTTTACCAATTTTCGTGTTCAGATGTTGTGAAAGGAAAGTATTCCTTCTTGTACATTTGTTTAGCTATGAAAAAAAAATCGTTTATCTATGAGTAAATGGATGAAGATCAGAAAATCTCTTCAAGCATTGACGGAACGTCTGCGACCAAGATCAATAAAATCCAATTTAAAACGGATTGGATGACAACTTGACCACAACTTTTCCAACTTTTCACAGTATAATCAAGCGTGGTTGCAATGGATGAAAAGTAATCAGTCAACGTTTGATTTAACAATACGTGAAGTAAAAATATGTTTGATTGTTTACTTAATAATTTAGCTGGAAAATTATGCTTTTTTTGTCACTCTGTTTGCAAATCAACTAAAACCTTTGGTCTTTTAGACATTTTCCGACCAAAATTCAATTTCCGTTAATGCGCTATAAAATTGCAAGCGAAATACAATAAATCTTCATTCGATGTTTTTACGTCAATCCTGTTTCTTTCATTTACTTTATGGTATGAGTTGAATTAGGTTTTGAATTCTTTATCACACTTTAGCTTTATTTATTCGTAGGATCTATTGCTCAGATGAAATGAATATATGCATATATGCAACAAATACTTCCAATATAGTACTCATTTTTAAAACTGATCTAATATATACTGAAAACTTCTCATCAATCCCCAAAATTATTTAAAAGTATTTTTTTTTGAATAGAACTTTTGTCTTCCTTATATGTCTTGATATTTTGAAACAACGTACTTAAAAATGACCATATTTATATTTAATAAAAATTCAAGAGCAAACACA